CACTTAAATACATGCACCTGTCCTTGAATACAGGGCATCAACAGGTGTTTACCACAGAGATCAAAGGTGTGGAAACAAGGGCCCTGCCCTCAGCAGTGCCAAACTCTAGAACGTCAGAGGGCAAAGAGGCCTTAAGAACATCATATATGACCCTCGCACTTCACATTCAAGAAAACAAAGCCAAAGAAAGAAAAAGGAAAAAAAAAACCACTTAATATTTTCTTTGCCTCAAGTACCATTCCTATGCTCCCTCATTTAATCCTCGAACGGTCATGTTATAAAGGCACCATATTCTAAGGTGCAATTTGTATACACACGTAAGTGTTTTTTCAAGTTACTCAAAGTTTTAGTATCTTGTCTAAGTCCTAACATGGAGTAAGTGGCAGAGGACCAGCATCTGAACTCAGACTTGTCCACTTCCCTGGCCCAAGCCCTTTGTCTCTACTCTGGTCCCCAGGGTCATATAGCTTCTTAATGTCAGGAGCCCCGGGACTAAAACAAAACAGCATGTAATAAAGTATGTAATTAAACCAGTGGTTCCCAAATGTGGCTAATTCATTAGCATCATCTGAGATGCTTCATAAAAACACAGATCACTCTGCCCCTTTCAGGCTTCTGATTGTGTAGGAGGCCCTGAAATCTGTATTTTTACATACTTCCAGTGATTCTGATACCCTTAGTATTCACAGGAAGAGAGAAACAACGGCTAGATCCACTGAATTTAAAGGGAATATTTAAAAGGAGAAACACTGAAGAGGTGGCTATGTCCGGGGAGCGTTCAGAACAGCGAGACCAGTGGGCGAGGGCAGGGAGACATGATGGAGAGTGACAGGGGGGCGTGGGAGGGGGATATTATGCAATATTATGGGGCATCAGATCAATCCGACAAAGGTATTTAGACTCCACACTATGATAACAAGGAAACACAAAGTGGTACAGGCTAAATAAAACAGCAGGTGAGCACCTGGACCAGGAAGGACAACAAGGCTGTCGACATGGACCACAAGCTGGCAAGGCCCCAATAAAGAAAAATCTGAAAGGGAATGCTGCCTGGATGGCCAGAATGTGAGCTCCAAGAAGACAGAGGGGCTGCCGGGTTTGCTCACGCCTTTATCCTGAGCACTTTGTCAATGCTAAATAAAGATAGTGAAATGAACAACATGCGGGTGCACTTAGAGGCCAACTGGTCCAAGAAGTCAACAAAGACAAATGGGCCAAGGCCTTCTTCAAGATTCAAATCCAAAAGTCTAGAATTAGGATGATGGCACCAGCAGAGGTGACTGACAAAGAGTGGCTTGTTTTCAGCAAAACTCTTCTTCATGACTTGCTTTTTTCTCTACAACTTTACTTTGGCTTATGGTGCATGAAAGAATTAGGTGATTTTTGAAATACAGGAATGTACCATCAACAGTGGCATGAATAGCAGGTCTTCTGTCTTGGGAAGAAAATGATAGGCAAGATCTTTTAGTTTGATTTTTGGCAAATGGAGGAGAGACAATCTCATGAGAATCTAAACTCAGATGACATTCCTCACATGATCTAAGATCACCGCCAGTTGACATGCCTACAGCACAGTGGCTTAACCGGACTCCCTATAAACCTTAATGACAGAGCTGGCCGGGCTCTGTGTGGCTGGGTCAGCCTGGGGCTTAGCCAACCTGGAAGACTCCAGGCCCCCTGAAGCCTGCCAGTCAGGTCTCTGGGGCTTCTGGAAACTTGAGAACTAGTTCTGCCCAGGGGGAAAAAAAAAACCTAAATAATCTTTTGAAATCCTTCCCAAACTAATGATTATTCAAGGTGCCATGTGTATAATTGTATTTACACAGTCCTTCAAATGACAAGCACCCTCAAAGCTATATGCTCCAGATCCCAGAAGTAGGAGTCAGACGGTGTACTCAAATTCCTTCTGGACACCCATCTTCTGCAAGCTTAATCTTAATAAGATCTTTCCTTCTTAAATGACAGCTACCTACTCTAATATCCAACTAACAGCAACTAACAGAGAAAGAGCCCTCGTTTCTGTAAGATGCCCTAGCAAATGTAATTTAACTCCATTACTAGAACAGCCAAAATACATATATATTTTGAAGAACTGCAAAAGGTTACATGGTTCCCATTTTATCTTTCCCTCGAATGCAAACTTTCCAATGCCTGCCTTTCATAATACACTGAGAGGTAATGCGTGGGTCCAAATGATTTGACAGTTCCTTTTAATTTACGTGCATCTAGGCAAGTGTATAAAATTCCACTAGTTCAAAAAGCTTCCTTTCCTTAAACATATTTCCAGTTCAAATTACGTGTTTATAGCAGTCTGCAATGTATTATTTCTAAAGATATACAGTCATGTAAAAAAATTGATAGAAAAACAGCAGCATATCACTACTGCCACACTCGGTCAGTCTCTCCCTTCGCAGGGCTGGTGGGAAGCCTGAACGCATCGCCATGACCAGGCTCTCCCTGCTGTCTCCAGCGTCCATAAAGGAAGGGCCACCAGTCCCTTTTTACAGACAGCTCTAAGCCTTAGTTGCTGAGAACCTCTTTTTCTCCCTTGAGCCTAGTATAAAATTTAAGAACTCACTAACTGTGGACATTTTACCTTTTTCCCTTTTAAAAAAGAGAGGCTTTAAGCTCAGATGCTCACTACTTCTAATTCCCAGGAAACAGTTGCAGTTTTCAAATTAAAATGTGGAGTACTGGAAATAATGGTCTATAATGGCTAAATGTTGAAAAAGTAAGTCTTTCAACTTTGCCAACATTTATGCTGCTATATATGAAACAGAGGCTGAAAAGTAATTTAAATGGACTATTATTGGCCATCCCAGGCTTTCAAACAGCTTCTATTGAGGAAAACTGACTCAGTGCCTAACAAAGACTCTGCTACAGTCTCAAGTTGACATTTTAAAAATAGCTAATCACTCTTTTGAATGATACTCCAATTACTGAAAACCGTATCTACCACAGTGGAACAGCTCACTCCAATTCTGATTGGAAATAAGAAATATTACAACCCCAAAGACACAGAGCTGGGAAGAAAGATGTCAGTAGGGACGATAGGTATAGTTCAGCCAAAAAGCTTCCTTAAGTACTGTCAGATTTAAGAACAAAACCCAAGGAGACAGTTTTTCTCTAGAATCTGCAAACAGTAACACTTCCTAGCAAATCCCTGAACGGGACTCAGCAAAAAGGAACCTCCTTAGCACTGTATATCTTTTTAGGCAGGTTTCTCCTGTATATCTTTAGATAGAATTCTCCCTTTGCCCTGTTTTGCAACAAGATGAGCAATAATGTTTTTCGGAAACAAACAGAGAATCTCTCCCTTTTGTGTCCAAAGAGCCAAAGTTCATAACTGGCTGGAAGATTACCAGTCCCAACAGACAGAATGACCGTTTGCCAAAGAGAAATGCCGATAAGGCTCAGAGTTCTATTTTACAGCCAGAGCACCCAAATTTTCATCTACTCTGTTTAGTCTGCAATCCTACATGCTCTCCTATCTCGCGTAAACGTTTGGGGACCTGCTAGCCCACACAGGGGCTCCGATGCCGATGAAAAATGCCCATCTGCTGCTCAGTGCCGAAGAGGTTTCCCAATCCCAAATCGCATCAACTCAAAAAAGGGGGCGAGGGGGAGAAGAGAGAAATAGCACACCAAAGGCGAAGGGGAAAAAACTCACAAAGCCACTTCCAAAGATGACATTATTTGTCTTCGAAGAGATAGTTCAGTTTATTAGAAATGGACAAATTATATTAGGTGGCATAGGGAGGATATACGAGGCACTAGGAGGAACAGAAACAGCTGCACTCTCTGACCGAGGCCCCAGACCGCAATGAGGCTGCAGATGGAATTGGGGTGCTGGGGCTTCCAGCTCCGGGCGCCCCGGGTAGGGGCCGCCACGGACAAGTGGAAGAGCAGGAGGCAGTTCCCTTTAGAGGGCGCTCATTGGGCGTCACAGGGAAACAAGCTCCAACTCCCGAAACGCGACTCAAAGGAGGAGAAACCAAGTTCCCACCGCCGAGGCCACGGAGGGAGGCTGGGTGTCCGCAGCCGGCCGAGCCGGAGAAGAGACTCCTCCGGGCCTCAATGCACCCCCGCTAAGGCCCGCGAGGGCGAGCGTGGCGGGCTGGAAGCCTCTGTCTCCGAGCAGCCTGGCGACCCGAGGCCGAGCGCAGTGTCACAGGCACCCCGCCTCACCCTGCTACTGCTTCTGCACTCGAGTGCAGTCCACGCTGAAATGTCCTCCTGCCCCTAAGGGCTCGCAAGCCGCCCCCGGCCCCACGAGGACGGGTCGCCTCAAGACCTGGATCCCAGCGGCCCACACCCTGGCATTTTGGGGCGCGTACCGCGCAACAGCCGCGGGACCAAGGACTGAGCCTCCGCGGGTAGCGTTTCCACGTAGTGCCTGCTCCCTCGCCCCAGCCACCGAGACTATCAAACAAAAGAACTTCTGCTAACTTTCCTCTCCCAACACTCGCGGGCTTCTTAAAGGTGGACCCCATCTCCCCAGACTATGCATTCAATAGAGTAGGAAAGCTGGCACAGGGGGATGGTGTGCGGAGGAAGGACCCCAAAGTTTCCAGGTCGTGCCTGGGTCTGGGGGAGGGCGCGGAGGGGACCAGTTCCCTCGCAGCCCTATCCAGACTTCCTCTCTCCAGCCACCGTTTGCCATTGGTCCTTCCCGGCCACGCAGCAAGACCCTCCGAGGGTGAAGAAGTTGGGAATGACTTCAGGGGCCTCTGCGGCTCGACAAAACTGAGATACTCCCGCTCTCATCCCGGGAGACCGCGGGGCAACTCTGGCGAGCGGCGCTTTTCTGAGAGAAGGTAAGGGGAGAGGGGTGGAGGAGCGAGTTCATTTGTCCCAGCAGGTCCTCGGAAGCCGAGCGCCACGTCTCGGGGTGGGGGGCATCCCCAAGGTGGCGCTCCCCGATTTCCCCCAGTCTGTGCGGACTCGGCTCGGCCTCGACACCGTAAACGGCGCGCGCGTCCCCCGCCTGACCCACTCACCGACTCCGCCGACACGCAGGCCACCAAGCCCAAGGTGAGCAGGATCCAAGCGCGCCGCATATTCCCCGGGGACCGGCTGTTCCCAGCCGCCGCTTGCAGTGAAGGAGAAA